TATCACCAAAGGTCCAGGAAGACTGATATTTTTCCCTTTGTTTTCAAATATTCCCTAGCACACCACTGTAAACCTAAAGAATATACTTACCCCAGTTTGACTTTTAAAATATTGCTTACTCTTGGAGCAATCATTGTAATCATTGTCCAAAGAATTAAATAAAACAATTATTCTTTTACAAATTACATTGCATATCTCTAACCTTTGAGTTCAAGTTGCTTGTTTGAACAGGGATTAAGTCAGTTTTGGTTTGGTTTTAAAAATATTAATCCCTCTAAAATTATTGCTAGAGCATGTTCATTGACCCTCTTTAACATTTTTTCTCTTTTCACCACTATCTTCCTTTCACTTCTATTTTTTCTCATTGTATAGATAATAAGAGAACAATACCAGCTGTCATTTAATCAGTCATGAAGTGCTGGTTACTGGGATGAGTACATTGTACTTTAATCCCTGCTTTAATGCAGTGCTGCACTTAGACTCGTTATCTGCTTAGTATTACATATACTCTTGGGATTCAAGTGTAATACATAATGACCTTATTATAGAAAGACCCTAGAAATGGTGGTGAAAAGAGAACTAAATTGGAAGCCAGAAGGTGTATATTATCTCTGCCAGTAATTTGTCATGTGATCTTGAGGGAAAAAAACAACAGTATTTGTACAGCTAAGGTAAAAAAAAAGTCTCTGTATATTTTATGAACTTCTTTCTAGTTGGGTCTAATTTTGTTTTACTAGGTATACTGCCTGCTTTAGGTGTGACTTTACTGAACATCTTAAGCCCATGGGCAGATTTTTTTTTATTTTTACACATGGCCTACATTATCTCTTGTCTGTTAAATACTTTGCAAATACACACTCATCAATTTCCTGTGTTTTGTGTTTTAGACATCACTTATCTCAAATTATATACCTCAGTCAATACATTGAGGGCAGCTCTAAAGGGCATGGCTCAGTTGGTTGGGCATCAGCCCACAAGGTGAGTAAATGGACATTTTGATTCCTGGTCAGGGCACTCATGCCTGGGTTGCAGGTTTGGTCCTGGGTCAAGGCACCTCAAGAGGCAACAGATCAATTTTTGTTTCTCACATCCAGGTTTCTCTACCTCTCTTTCTCCTTCCCTTTTGCATTTCTTTTCTCCAATATTCTATTAGTAACCCAGCAAACTCTGAAGGAATTTGTGCTGAGATAGCTGTACTCCTTCAACTCCTGTCAAAAGAAACACCCTACAGACGAATAGACTTTTATGGATATTACCAACAAATGTTTCCTATTTTCTTGCTCAACTACTTTATTTCTTCCCAACTTTGTTTTATATCTACTATTTTACATCCAGTTGCTTTTGCATTTACACAGTTTACTTTGCTACCCTAGCTCACTTTTCACTGGCCTCAAACAATATTTGGTCTTCATTAAAATGACCTCTCAGCAAAATTAGGAAATTCCAATTGATGGGTTAGAGATAAATACATGTTGCTTTTTCCTTAATGATGTCATAAATGTAATCCTTAAATGTGGTTGTAAGCAAAAGGACTTTTGAGTTTCCAGGATCAACCCCATCCTAATGGAATGATAAAATGCAAATTTTGGATAACTAAACAATGGATTTTGTTTGATTATTTTTACATCTGTATACATTTTAACTATTTGATGAATACTTTAGGCACATAGAAATATTTAAGCAAATTAAAGATATAGAACTTAAAACTTATAATTAGTAAGAAATGCCTTTTATTTATGGAACATGCAGTTTCCAGTTTAGGGTTTTTATCCTGAGATATGTAATATAGAAGACAATGGCAGCTGTCTGCAAAGTGTGCTAATGAATCTATCTTATTGACTAAGTGATATGCCCATCACAGCACTTGTCACAGTGAGTCTTCAATAAAAATTTAGGTTTGTTTATGATAAAATTTCAAATAACAAAATTTAAACGAGCCAAACAATTGTGAATATGGAGTTGTAAGATGATGGAGCATTGGATTAGTTGATGTATTTTTGGGAAATCAGGATAGTTCTGCAGTATGTCCAGAAATGCTATGCAGCCATCCCTGGTATTTCAGTATTTTTCTGTCTATTGTCCCACTATTCTCAACTTTAGAATACTCCCTTTCTTATCAAAAATAGTTATTACTTTCTTTCAAAGTGTCTTTCTCCCTAGTGTGAATGTAGCTTCTGATGTCTTTCTAGAATGTAATGGGATCCTCCTCATCAAGCAGAATATATTTATTTGACTGGAAAGTGGCTTTGCTTTAAAGCAAGTTTTAATAAAGAGCTCAGAAATGAACCCAGACATATATGGTCAATTAATAAAGGACAAAGGAGGCAAGCATATAGACAGGGTAAAGATAGTCTATTCGATACATGGTGGTAGTAATACTGGACAGATACATGCCAAAAAATAAAGCTAAACTAACTCCTTATACCTTGTGTAAGAATAAATTCTAAATGGATTAAGGATCTCAATGTAAGAATGAAAATTATAAATCTCCTAGAAGCAAACATAGCACTAAACTCCTTGACATCTCTTTTAAGAATATCTTTTTTTTTTTTTGACATAACCTCCTCTGGCAAGGGAAACAAAAAATAAATAAATAAATTGAACTACATCAAATTATAAAAAGGTTTTGTACAGTAAAGGAAACCATCAACAAAGCAAAAGAATAACTTACTAGTGGAAGAAGATATTCACCAGTCATACATTCAATAGGGGTTAATGTCCAAAATTTATTTTAAAAATTCAAACAACTCAACATCAAAGAAACAAATGAACCAATTTTAAAAATGGCAGAGAATCTGAATAGACAGTTCTCTAAAGAGGACATACAGATGGCCAATAGACATATGAAAAATATTCAATGTCACTAATCATCATAAAAATGCAAATTAAAACCATAATAAGATATCTCCTCACACATGTCAGAATGGTTGCCATCAATGAATCAACAAACAAGTGTTGCTGAGAATGTGGAGCAAAGAGAACCCTTGTGTACAGTCACTGTGGAAAACAGTATGGAGTTTCCTCAAAAAAGTAAAACTGCAACTGCTTTATAACCCAGCTATGACACTACTGAGAACATATATGAAGAAACCCAAAATACTAATTCAAAAGAATATATGCACCCCTGTGTTCACTGAAGCATTATTTACAATAGCCAAGATGTGGAAGCAACCCTCATACCCACCAATAGACAAGTGGACAATATACAATATTCAATTGTATATTGTACACATATACAATAGAATATCACTCAGCCATAAAAAGAATAAAATCTTGCCATTTGCAACAATATGGATGAACTCAGGTAGAAGGTATTATGGTAAGTGAAATAAGTTAGCACAACATAAACACCATGCAATTTCAATTATATGTAGAATATAAAACAAACAAATGAAACAAAAACAGATTAATAGATGCAGAGGACTTACAGTTGCCAGAGCTAAGAGCGGTTGGGGGCTGGATGAAAAAAGGAGGGGGATTAAGAAGTACAAATTGGTAGTTACAAAGTAGTCACAGACATGTAAATTACAGCAAAGAAAATACAGTCAATAACATTGCAATAACTATGTGTTGTGCCAGGTGGGTACTTGAATTTTTGGGGAAATCACTTCATAAATTATGTAATATTGTAAACACTATGTTGTAACCTGCAGCTAATATAAATACTGAATGTCAAATGTAATTTAAAAATAAAATTTAAAAAACAAAATTATATAAAAAACACAAAGTGAGTTGTCATTCTTAAGAATAAAAGACAGAGAAGCACAAACTGAAACTACTAGTGTGTGTATATGTCTGTCTGTATGTATATATGTATATTAATATATAAATTTATATAAGTACATGCCTTTGTACAGACATTTACTATTTATATATACTAATGTATATAGTTCGTGACAATAGCTTCTAGAAACACTGAGTTGGAAATGTGATTTGTATCAGCCTAGCCCTTAAAGCAGGATCTAACATGATCCCTCTCGCAGTGGGATAAGAAGCAATGTATTCATGTTCTAACCTGCTACATGTGCCTTGACAAAGATATGCTTTTCATTTATGAACTTCCCACCATCTCTGTTCTTACCCCAGTCTTCTGTGCCACCTAACAGATGAGAGACTCTCAGAAAGGGGTGGGAGGTGGGGCACAGAAGTCCGTGAGACTTCTGGTACATTGAGATTTGTGCCTGGATTTAACAGTACATGCATGAGATTTGGAGAGAGGAGATTGAGGAGAGGAATGGAAGAGGGTCCTGTTCTACCTAATTAGGTTGTGTTCGTGTACAGAAAATATAGAGAGTAGCACTGGACAACAACAAAGTACCTATATATTCTGGCTATCACTTTTTTTCTCTTTTAGCAAGTAGGTGGGGGGAAATAATGATTTTAAAAGTTTCTTCTACGGATAATTGAGGCAGGACATGAAAGTATCAGTTACTAACTTTTTACTGTTTTTGTGTGTATTACCTAGAAGCAGAAGTCACTTAAATATCTATGTATTACACGTCAACTTATCAAATAAATGGCTGTGACTTCCCATATTTTATAAATTATATCCAGAAAAATTATGTGACACAAAGTTAACAATACTTGCTACAATCTAGTATAGAAGTCAATAGTAAAAAGCTAAACAAGGAGCCAACACCCCCTAACTTGGGTTTTATGACTAGAAAAATGTTTATGTTGGTAATGTGCACATAATAAGAAACCAAATGGTGTAGTTTTCTTTGTACAATAGCCTTTCTAAGTAAAATTACGTGTGCCTGAGTGGTTTTATCTTTTGTAGTGTTTCATAGTCTAGAGTCTATTTATTGCCTTGGAAGTCCCAGAAAGACATATTCTTCATCGTTAGATTGTGTATTTAACAAACTTTATGACAGCAATATTTAAGGAGGTATTTTTAAATGGCAATGAGAAAAGATAATACAAGTTTCATAGCTAATCAGCATCATTGTACAAAAATATACATCTCTCCAAACGTTCTTTTTCACCTTCCTTATTTGTAGGAATTGAAGAGTGCACTGGAAAGCTGGGTCATGAGCTGCTGGGGCCTCTAAAGTGTCCAGTGGATTTTTAATCACAAGGTAAATACCCAAGTTATTTTAATTATATTTTAGGGTAAAATGAATGCCATTTTATTTTAAGACTTAGATTTCTTTATACCAAGAAATAAATGACATTTTATTTATTCTTATATTTAATAAAGTTATTCCACTGGTTTCTTAGCTCCCAAATGACTAGAAGAATTTATTGCCATATTGGCAATGCTAGGCATATATTTTTCTCTGTAAAAGTATCATAAATGTTGTGTGTGCTATGTTTCAGGTAGTCTGTACATAGCTTTTGTTTAATTACAATGATTTTTGTACTTTTAAACCATAATAATGGTTTTACATGGTTTATAACATATAAACTGTTATAACATGTAATAGCTAAAACATTTCTTTATTAACACTTATGACACAGATAGTGATATTGGAGGTATATTATTCTTAACTTGAACTGGAAGCTGAGTTACTCTGGGCTTTTTTATTTCATTATCCTTGGTGGGTATAACCTTTACTCTTCATGTATTTGAAAAATTGCATTTATCAGAGTACAAACTAACTCATACCTTTTCAGGGGTGCTGTGTATGTGATATGGCTGACTTTTTTTTTGGTCTTATTAGTTTTTTTTACCTCTTTATTTGCTGGTAGTTCTTTAGCAAGCACTACAACATGGTTTTTTATTATTATTTTAATCTTTTGTTTTCAGTTGTTAGTAAATTAAGACATTTGTAATCACTGCTTCCTTTTCATCATGTAAAATTATTGAGGGAGGAATTAGGATTTGAGTGGTATGTCTTGGCCAGTAATTCTAACGAAAGGCCTTATTAATGCAATTATGCAAAGACATATGGAAATATATCACAGTATCCTCATGAAGACTAAGAAATGAAGTAAATAATATTTCCTTATGAAGATTGGGTTTCCTAGAAAGGGAATGTGACTGCTTCCATTACCATTTCCAATATCTAAAAGACCGACAATAATAGCAAAGAAGGAATGATGTGTACATAAATGGCCTATTGTGTGCAAATTGTGGACACGCACACCACATACCAGTTTCCTTAGGGATGCAAAGGAAACCCTGACTCTCCATGTATAGATATGTTGGCTTAAGTTAAAAAAAAAAAGAAGAAATGTATTTCAAGGTGCAATACGAGAGAAATTAAATATTCATGGAATGTGTCAAATTGGTCAGATTTAAAATATATATATATATAGATAAGGCATCATTGATAAAATTTAAATTATAAACTGTATGATGAGTCATATGGCTCACATTTTACAAGGGTCTCCATTATGTTCACATGGATGAATTAATAGGGAAAAAGTGGATAGATAGTCATGTGAAGAGAATTAGAAGAAATTTCTCATTTGCACAGTGCAAAACTATCTATCATTTACAGGGCTCTTAAAATCAAAAAGAACATTTGATGGCACTTAAAATATGATAAATTTGACATGATTTGAAGACACTCTGAAATATAATTACTTCTTTGAATATTTCTTAATATATTCTTTTATAGTTCCTTTAGCCAGTTTAAGTAATCCTGACAAATTAACCTCTTTTTTTCTGCTTGAATTTATGTGAAGCCCTGCAGTCTCTCCCTGATTGTAAACCCAGTGCTATCTTCAGATGTACCTTGATAGTAGATAGGAGGTGATTTTATTTTTATCTGGAAAAAATGAAACACACGCTATTAATCTATGAAATGACTAGAGGTTATTTGAAAATTAATATTTCATTTGACTTTGATGGAATTTTATAAAACATCAAAGCCTTATGGGAATTTACTTGCACTGAGAAATTTCATTTTAACAAAAGTTTATAGCATATAACATAAACAGGATGAAGGACAGGTCTTGTATCTTCTAGATTCTTGTTATGAAAATTAAGCTCATTTTTACCTCCATCTTCAGTCCCCTCTTCTTCCCACACTCCTTGTTTTTGCCTTTCTTATGGCAAATGGAGGTTTTAACAATGACCCACACACCTCCTCAGGTACGGATCTGTTTACCTATTTTTTATCGCTGGTCTTTAGTTCCTTGAAACCTTTGGCAAGGTTCCAAAAAGAATTTTCTCCATTCTAAAGCCATCAGAATTAAAAAAAAAACATATTAGTAAAGAGAAAGAAAAAATTGTGACTATAGCTGAGACATTTTATGTTGTACAAAGAATCACTGATTCAAGTTTAAAAGGTATATGTCACCGATGTGATAACCAACGTGCAATTAAAATGGGAATGGTGTTAACATCGGTGTATCGGACAGAGAAGGGGCTGTAAACTAGGTCAGTACTTTGAACTGAACATTCATCAACCTGAAGCTGTGTCTACATGTTGAAGTGGGACATTGGAAACTCAAGGAAAACTGCCTAACATAAACATGACAGTGAGGAAATTTGAAGATTTGAAAATATTAGGTTTGCCCTATTTGGAAAGAATGATGATAATTCTCTATAAATATAGGTCAGATGGAAGGGAGCTTAGACTTTTATACCTGTGGCTCAAATGATGTTGTGGGACATTTGGTTGTAATGTGATCCAATACGGCAAATATTTAAAAATATATTATATGGGTTTCGTTTAAATAAACAAAAAAAACACAAATAGATATGTAAAAATTATTATTTCTCCCTGAATAGAATGGGCTACTGCATAAAGGGTAGGGAATCCTGCATCTAAACGTGGCATTGGGTGTGGCTGGCTGGCCCACTGCTTCTTAGCAGAGATCATTATCAATCAGTGTTTGGAGAAATAATGGTTTGCATCCGACCCAAAGATTGTTTCTGGCTCCACAAATTTATACACTTTATCGGATGTAAGTTGCTAGTAGTGAGGCCAAGGTTCAGTGGTTGCAGTGCCAGGTCCAGTGTCCGCATTCCTGTGTGGGTGCACACTCGCTGCTTCTGGCACTTTGGGAATTTACATGAGGTCTCGGGGCTTAGTTTACTAGTCCGTGTAAAGAAGGTGATATAACTACTGCTCACAATTTGATATCACCGAGGCTCATATACTAATGCGGGTAAGAAAGAATGACTTAAGATCAACCATTATGAATTGTATGTTTTGCCATTTCACTGACCGTGAATTAAAGCCTCCAAATTATTTAGTTACCTATGAGTTTATTTTAGAGCATAAAGTTAAAATATTTTATGAGTAATATTTTAATGTTTTAGAATTATGACTAGAATAAGATGTCCTTTCAATCAGACTTCTGTTCATGTATTGAATAATGCCAGAGTTTTTTTTCTAAGGAAAATATAGATACTGGCTATAGATATTCCCTTTTGTACTTCTCTGTGTAGATACTAATAACCTTTTTAGGTAAGTGTTCTGGTTTAGCAGCTCATCTTCTGAGCAGATGCCAAAATTATGCGTGATTTTAAATGAACGTTATGTTCTTATTTAGTCTTACCACATATTTGTGGTTTGTTACTCATCATATAATACATACATCGTGGTTCTGCCATCTGGTATTAATCAGCAAAGCAGAGGCAAGATGCAGTATTGAGGGAGGACTGCCTGAATGATATGAATTCTTGTCACTGATCTCTATAGTTTAAATTTTATCAATGGATTAAATAAGATTATTGCAATCTTTGTATTTACTCTGTGTAAGTGTTTTCACTCAGCCACAGTTTGAATCAATGCAATTGCCTTACATTGATTTGTGTTTGAAGTGCTAGAAATCCAATGCTTGCATTTGCTGTAGTAGTTTTATTTACAGAATGTTTCTGCATTCTTTATAAAATTTCCCCATTAAGGAGACCATGGAACATGCCACTCTCCAGTCTCAGTACCCCTTCTCTTGCCAATTTACTAATTTTCATTTTATGATTTCACTGGCTCATGCATTATATTTATTTGCATGTGTGTGGGGGGGAGGTACTAGGAAGCTCAAACTTAATCTGTTGCACATCTGTCAAGTAAACAAATGATGATGTATGTGATAGTGAAGCACAACTGCTCTGGGATCAGTCTCAGTGTGAATACCATCTCTTTTATTTAAATTGAGGTTAGTTTTGGTCATGATGCCAACTGATTTTTCTTTACAGTGCTTATGTTGTAGTAGTGTTTTGAAGTAGTGTTATCCAGTAGTAAACTGGATAATCATTTAATATATTAACACACATTCTTGGTATATGTTAGCTATTATCACTGATAAAGGTCTCAAAAAGTAACTCTTATTTTCTATGTCAGTTCTTGGCCTACCAAAGCACAAATGTATTGAGCATATATTATATTCACTGCTTACTCATATGTGTAAACGGTGTATATATAGTTGATCATTTAATGACTCAACAGTTATCCTCAGTGCCTAGCAGACAGAGAAAGGAAACTAAAATTAAGAATAACTTTTAAAGATGTTTTGTGTGTTCTTCCTATAATTACAAGTACTTTTAGTGATCAAATTTTATTAGAGGAGGTTAAATTATTATTAGTAGATATTTTAGATGTTTGAAGGAGGAGGGGCTCATTTTAGTGTTTGATTCACATTATCTTTAGGGCCCTTCCCTGTGCTTTGCTTAAAGGAAGAGTCAAATTGCACTAAACAGGATTTGGATTTGCTACATGACATTCCCACAGGGCAGGAGGGTGACTCAAATTACAACTGCACCTCAATGTGCCTGCAGTACAATCTGTTTGTCACCAGAAAAGAGGCTTGAAATTAATTTAAGTGTCCCCTTTTTCTCTAACAGATATAATTTCTGCCCTATATTTATCTCCTTAACCTCCTAGTTATAGAAGATAAGAAGAAAAAATAAATCTGTGAAGTTTCACACTTCTATTCTTAATATGTGATGCTCTATTAGTATTTTTGTGCTGCAACTCTGTGAAAGCTCTGTTTCTTGAGGAAAGACCCATTTTCATTCAGAATGTTGAAAATCAAAATCTTTTTTTTAATTTATTTATTTTTAGAGAGTGGGGAGGGAGGAAGAAAGGGAGAGAAACATCAATGTGTGGTTGCCTCTTATGTGCCCCCTGCTGGGGACCTGACCCACAACATAGACATGGGCCCTGACTGGGAAGTGAAC